CAGAGATTCTGACCACAAATGTTTGTCATTTACTGTGAGAACAGGATTAGATGTTTAAATATAGTATCACTTGAGGATGCAAAAACAAAATCATGTTTTCCTTTGGTCATAGTGCAAGATAAAGTTTGCATACTGACAAATCAAGTAGCATCAGGCTGTCAATGAGAGTGACCAATAAACTTTTTGCATTTTAAAACGGCCACTGTTTACTCAGGCTGGGTGGACTGAAATGACTGATGCCTAATTTAGTTGTCTAATAAACTTGACATTGTATATTATCCATTTTTGGATAAATGGTCCCTTTAAAATTTTGACCAGCTTCACATTTAAGGCAACACTTTTGTGATATTTTGGCTTGGGTTGATGGGGGAAAGTACTCATAGACCTGTAAAGACCAACCCTTCACTGGTACATGGTACAGTGGGTACTGATTTACTGATTCCTTATGATGATCTTTTTATGGTGGAGGTGAAAGGAGTTCCAAATCAATGCAAATGAGCATCTCCCATCATGGGCTGACACGGCCCACTCGAGCTGAGGGGCTTCTGTGTCAGTCCAACCTCCACTCATTTACACAGATACAGTGTATCTTTTTGTATGCTGAGTTGAGGACGTTTTATACAGACATGGAAGACGGAAGAGATACACTGACAGAGAGAGACAGTTTTGGGATAACGCAACCAGCAGGTAAAAATGTATATCGTACACTTAAGACTAACAATTTTGTGTGTGTGTGTTGCAAAAAAAATTATTAAGCATGGCTGCACCAAATATGTGAATGTAATTGCATTACAAACAAAATACCACACCAAATGGTATTTATTATAAAGATTAATAGCACAAGCATACTTTTCAAGCAAAATATTTCACAAATAGTTCGTTAGTAGTAGGTTTAAACTACTAAAGGATTTATATCCTCATCAAAATATGGAGAAAAAGAAACTTGTCAAAATGGTCTATAGTTAATGTGATGAACTTCACCCGTGGTTACTCTGCTAGGAACCTGAGGGAAACTGGCTTAATTTACTAAAAATGTCCTTGGGATCAGTCTGGCTGAAAAGTAATTGCAAATATGACTCAACGCTGAAGTTATGCGGTAATAATATTTTCATTATGTGCACATGAATAAGCAAGCAAAGTCTGAATTCTCAAAAACTGAATTCTCAAAACCACCCAATCTCACCAGTGACAGTGGAAGAGGTTGAGCTAACATCAGATATGGTGGACAAGCAACTCTTGATATGGCAATAAGTTAATTCAATAAAAGCCTACATATCATATTTGTGACCCTGGACCACAAAACCAGTCATAAGTGTCAATCTTTTGAAATTGAAATTTATGCATCATCTGAAAGCTGAATAAATAAGCTTTCAATTGATGTATGGTTGCTATAGGACAATATTTGGCTGAGATATACAACTATTTGAAAATCTGGAATCAAAATATTGAGAAAATTGCCTTTAAAGTTGTCCAAATGAAGTTCTTAGCAATGCATATTATTAATCAAAAATTATGTTTTGATGTTTTTACGGTAGGAAATTTACAAAATATCTTCATGGAACATGATCTTTACTTAATATCCTAATGATTTTTGGCAAAAAGAAAAATCGATAATTCTGACCCATACAATATTGTTGGCTATTGCTACAAATATACCTGTGCGACTCATGACTGGTTTTGTGCTTCAGGATTACATTTGATATTATATTTAACTAGATCAAAACGGGAAAACCTGTTGTACACAAGCTTCACATGTCTTATCCCCTCTGATCGATAGTTAATAGCTTCTCTTTTTTTTTTAGCAAGAAAGGGCCTTTTAGTATAATTTTAAAAACATTCCCCTTAAAGCAGCACTATGTAACTTTTTCTGTTTTCAAAATGTGCAAAATGTATATAATGAGCGAGTACATCATGAATCATCTTCCAATCCGCGTTTTTTGTCTTATTCCGAATCACTACGGTACACTTATAATAAGTACTTATATTTGTACTATTGTAGCCTGGTCGGGTCGTCACTGCTGCGGAGTAAAGCATACCTGCTTGAATCGACATAAACTTAGAGAAGTAGCTCCGGTTGGAATGTTCTTCCGCGGGATGTGTGCAGTTCTGTTTATTAACTGCTAGAGCGCCAAATATTACATAGTGCTGCTTTAAAGGGTTAGTTCACCCAAAAATTAAAATTAGCCCATAAATTACTCACCCTCAAGTCATCCTAGGCGTATATGACTTTCTTCTTTCAGACGAATCCAGTCGGAGTTATATTAAAAATTGTCTTTGATCTTTCAAGCTGTTTCATGGCACTCAGCGGGTGTTGCATGCTTCAGTCCAAAAGCAGTTAAATAAAATGCGCGCATCCATTAAAAAAAAAAAGTGTCTCACAAGGCTCCGGGGGGTGAACAAATGCCTTCTGTAGTGAATCGATGCGTTTTTGTACGAAAAATATCCAATCGAAATCCTCGACATTCTTCTTTACAAATCCTCGTTTTGTACTTCTAATTAGTGACCGTTGTTTTGTTTTGATCTCTCCGCTGCGTTTCCACGTGTGTCACTTCTGAGCGGCGCATGCGCAAAGCCGACCTCCATACGTCATCCGCCCGGAACTGCTTCCCTGTACAACAGTGAGCGCAAGCTACATTAAAGTGATTATTACGTTTTGAATATGGATATTTTTCTTACAAAAACGCATCGATTCACTACAGAAGGCCTTTGTTCACCCCCCGGAGCCGTGCGAGACACTTTTTTTTTATGGATGGGCGCATTTTAATTAAGTGCTTTTGGACTGATGCATGCAACACCCGCTGAGTGCCATGAAACAGCTTGAAAGATCAAAGACAATTTTTAATATAACTCCGACTGGATTCGTCTGAAAGAAGAAAGTCATATAAACCTAGGATGACTTGAGGGTGAGTAATTTATGGGCTAATTTTCATTTTTGGGTGAACTAACCTTTTAAGCTGTAATACATGTGACTTTTTACTGTGAAATATGTGATTTTGATATGCTAAACATAAGAATAACTTGTAAGTAATATTTAAAGATGAACACTTACTAAACTGAAACAACTTGGGTTTACTTGATTATCCATACATAATTTTTTTGAAAAATCATTTTAAAATGTAAGTACACGTGGCTTTTGAGGTAAGTTTATTTGTACATTTCTCAATCATCATTGTATTGCATTACATTCCTGTCATACAATATGAACCATAACAGCCTGATGTATCAAATATGATACTCAAAAAATAAAACATATGCAAACTTTTTTTATTTGTTTTGTCTCAAGGCTCAATAAACTCTTTAAAATACTACAGATTATAAAGTCAGCAAATGTTAACTTGAAGACTACTCTTTGTAGTTTGTTTTATGCAAATTAATATTGTATAAATCTATGTATAAATCATGCAAGTTGCACAGAAGTGATGCTCTTTTTTTTCAGTTCACTTATCTACTGTTACAGAACCAACCTTTGGCTCATTTCTTTATTTTGCTTCCGACTTTTCTCAGCGTTAGTTCTGAGAAAAAGTCCAGAATCATTTGTTTGCAGGTGCCACTTTGCTTGATATTTTTTGTTATCTAGTGCAATGACATTCATAGATTCAAGTGTGGCTTCAGTGTCCAAGTACATGTTGGGGCCTCTCTTGTAGCATGTTTTAACGATATGGAACAAACAGAAAGAGAGACTTTAAAAGAGAGAGTATGTCTGAGAGAGATAAGAGAGGAGGAGGAGACTACTGGTAGTATACCATGCATATAAATGCATCCATAATCACAATAGACATGTCAACGACTTAAAATGTTATGATTTTTTTTTTCAGTCTTGGAAATCACAATTTTAAAATCTCATGATATTTCCATGTTTTTCATGACCGTGGAAGACCTGTAGTTTTGATGAACATGGCGTGCATAACTTTGTGACACGTATGAAGACTTGAAATTTTGTTCAGAGATGTTAACTGTGTGTGCGTGCATGTTCCGTGTTTACCGTTTCACAATGTGTGTAAACCTCAGAGAAAACATTTACCCAGTAATTTAAACTGTAAGTAGTATACATTTTAGTCAGTCCCCTGCCTGCCCACATTCCTGACTTGCTTTGATAGTGAGGGAAACACCTATGAATACGTCATATCAGTGTTGCACACGCGCTGTCTGCACATCGCGCATACGTTGCGTTACGGCGATTTTGTACGAAAAGTATGGTACTTTAATTGTTAAGACTTCGCTGTTTCCAAGTTGTAAGGCGGAAAGATATTTACATGTTCTTGAGTGTTTGAGATAGACAAGTGCTTGCGCAGGTGAGCCGAAGTCAGGAGCCGAAGCGCTGGAGTGATTTCCTCTCGGAGCATAAGTAAGATTCAACATTTTCATTATTTTTCTCAAGTTCCGAAGTGACTGGCCGGTTCCAGCATTTAATTAAAGGTGACTTGAAAATGTTAGGACATTACTTTCCTTCGGGAACGCATTGATTAGCCTGCTTAGGATTCGATTGGCGATGTAATGTTACCGGTGAGAGCTGTAGGCTACGCTCAGCTGAGCTCTGTAAAGTCTAATCAGTTCCCCGTACGTCAGGTGGTAATTATCTAGAAAATAATCACAAAATGGTTATGTGGGTAAAAAAATTATTGACAATGCACTTGAATTAAGTCGATTTGAAAACGACACACCCTGCCATGAAAAAACACTGATGGTTACTACTGGGGGGGGGGAAACATGATGCATGAATTATTAAATCACAATAACTAGGCCTATATATATGTATATATATATATATATATATATATATATGTATGTATATATGTGTGTGTGTGTGTGTGTGTGTGTGTACTGCAGTAGGCTAGATGAGCAATATTACACTAGCAATCGCGCAATATAGAGCCATCACATACACCAGTGTGATATTGCTGACACAAAAAAACTCACTAGCAGCAACAACTAAGCTTGAGCTGTTTTGGAGTAAGTAAGAGAATATGTGTGAGAGGGAAAAAGTGTGTGTATAATTACTTGTTCTTCGGGTAAAATTATATATTCAGAGGGAAATAATCCGTTTGCTGGGTCTTTGACTTTGTCATAGTATCCCTACTTGCAGCGGCTGAGGAGTTTTCAGGTCATTTGCATGAGCGCTGGACAATGCATTGATCCATATGGAGTGTCAGTTGAGATGGCTTGACTGAGCAGGAATCTAGCTCTCGAATATCAAAGTTTCAGCAACTTTCGTACCTGAATGAATCAGTGTTTTGAACAAATCAATCGAGTAATGATTCAATGACTCGCTCGTAAAGTCACTCGTTCATAAATGAATCAGTATAATCGGTTCAATGAATGGCTCAATGACTCATTTATAAAAGATAGTCACTTGTCGCCACCTACAGGCTTAACGATGTAACAACGAAGTCATACAAAGGGTGCTAGTGGTTGGTCCAATCAGCACTTGTGAAATGCTTGTCGTCCAATCAGATTTGAGACCTGGAATATTCCAGCCCCTATCTGCCCTAAATAGTAAATTACTAATATCACACAGAATTTAGGATGGAAAGTACTATGCACATTTGGACTCAGGCCAGATTTAGTTGACGACAGCCATTTTGAATTGGTGTTCTTAAAAAAAAATTAATCATCGATGGTCTGTAATTACACTCTGAATGTTGTCAAATTCATGGTTGTAAAAACTTTCATTTATAGAACGGTTTAGCCCCAAAGGCTAGGCTACAGACATATTTGTTTGTTAAAACATTTTGTACATTTACATTTTTGCAGTTCCACACATTTTTCTGTTTCATTAATGTTTTGCCGCTACAAATGGTCAACGCTTGGAAAATTAGCTGTGGAGTTACTAAAAAGTGTGACACCTAGCCCCGTCTCCCGTTAGCCCATTTAACCAATAAGCGTCTCTGTGCAAATCATTCAGGTATAGGCTATATAAACAGGCTATAAGTTCTGTGAGTTCAAAACATCATTGAACAGAATGAGTTAAGCCCGCATTCAACTGGTGTTGCTTCATGAACTGCCCAAAAGCGCATCTGATGCGAGGAAAAGCTCGTGTGTTTGGTAGTGATGTAGATGTGTGTGTGGTTGCTGGATGAGACAAAAACGCATTCGCACGGATCCAGTCCTCGAGACTTCATGTAAATACTCCACAAACGATCGCGAAGGGACGTCTCTCTCACACACAACGCGTACACGACACACACAACTTCCACTACATCCACCTGGAAACTAGATACAACCGCACATTTGCGCCAATGAAGGATGAAGATGATGTACATACTGCGAGGAAAGATGAGGAGGCTGATGGCTCGGGTGAGTTTCTCATGTTTTGTATTTAGAATCCTGCTTGCGCGTTTATTATTGATGATGAATATTAAAGATAGACAGATAATGAATCGCTCCGTAGCCAAACAGAATCCACCACATAACGTATTTATTTCTAACGCATGTTTATAATGCCAAGATTGCTTTGCAAAACACTATTTACAATACCCAGATATGTTATAAATAATGCCTTTGTGCAATCACCTGTTGACTGATGTTGTTATTAAAAAAATAATACTAATATTAAAGTCAGATAAGCTGTATGGGCAATGAGGCTTGTGTTATTAGGTGTACTGAGGGTTTAGAGCAGTCACGCATTGCCTTCAGGCAACACACACACACACACACACACACACACACACACACACACACGGCGCACATGAGGAAAATCCATAGCAGCATCATCTTCACCTGAGGAGAGAGATGCTGGTCTGAGGGGTCGGTGCATGTCAACCTGGGCTGTCAGAGGGGATTTTCCCATTTGGGGTATATGGAGGAATGGCTTTTCAAAGAGAATTGGTTTAAGGGAGAATGTTACTACATTATCTACAGGTATTTTAGAATGTGGGAATGATGTATACATCCTGTTATATTTCCCATATTTCTTTGAAAATGATTCAGCAACAGTGTGACAAGTTTCAAATGCCACAAGACAATCAAATTGAATGATTACCACAAGGGTGTTTTTATCCTGAAAAATGCTTTTACTTGTCTGACATCGTTATGATCAGTAATCAAGCTTCATTATCTAATCTCAACAAGGAAATGGTAAATCCACTTGCAAATAAGTATGGTCCTAATAAACCTCAGCCTCTAAACAAATAGGTAATGTCCTTGCAGAAAATTACCAGAAAGCATGTCGTACATCAATTTGCTATTCAATATTCCAAGCCTTTGTGTTCCTCTTCTGATGGCAGCTGATTTTATATGGTTTCTTGGTGGAACGTGCCGTTCAGTTTTGTTTATTAGCTTGTCTACATTGATCTAGGAGGTGATGGATCAGATGGACTAGCAGTTAATAGGGCTTAGATTGATCCGGCAGACGTTTTAAATCTGGTAAACCACCTTGGACCAGTAACAAAGCATCTGTCATGTTCCAAAAATCAGCTTGACCATCTTATGGTGAAATGACAAGGATTTTCCAGCAGGAATGAAAATGTAATTCAACAAACTTTTTTTCAAACTCACTTATTAATATAAGAAAATTGCTCCAAAGATTGTTTCCTTATTACAGTAAATATATCCCAGAATGTGTCTGGGATCATGTGAACTAATTGTTTTTACAGTTAATATGCTATTTTAATATTAAAAGATTTTTGTATTAATACTCCATATCCATATGTCTGTCAAATATATTTTTTTACGTGGGTTATTTATTTCTTGTGTTGTTTATCATGTTCAAATTTATACGGAGTACAAAAGAAAAAAGGCAAGCTGACATTATTGCACTGACAATCCCCTCTGGAGCAATCCGTATTAAGCAGACACACACACACACACACACTTGTATCCTACAATGACCTACATATGCATTCTAGGGTGGAAAATGTAGGCATGTGTTCTATAGGACGTTGTTTTTGATTTATTTTTTATTTCAGGTTTTATGTTTCACAATACAATAACATTGTCATATTAACACCCCATTTAAAAAAAACACTATTTTATTTATTAGGCTTCAGATGATTCATTTTCGATGAGTGTCTTAAATGAATTGCATTTGCTCTCAGTTGCTCTGTAATTAGGTTGGAAGGCATTTTTGTTATCAGGCCTCTGTGGTGCTTACATTCATTTTGTAGAATATATTGACCCCTTGATGCCCTCTCTGTTTTTACTCCAGAGCTGTGATCTATAAAAAGCAACAGAAGTTGTTATAGTATTAAATATAGTATGTTCTGAGACTTTATTCAAATTTTGATAATAAAACAAAGAATCATGACAAGAAGAAGAAATATTTAAAATTCTGCACACAAAAAATTAGAATGCTGACTGTGTGACCACTTCTGTTTTTTTGCATTCATTTCATGAAATGAAATTTGCATTCAAACTTGATTTTTCTCTTTAAACGTGAGTCAAATTAAACTTCATACCAGCTGGTTATTTGCAGTTCTGTGTGATAGAAAGATTTGTTGAGATTAATTTAGCATCACACTTCCTATTCCTATCACAAAGCAATACTATTTGCATTGATAAATTTGTGTTTGCACTTCGACAGGTGAGAAACTCTTGGGTTTCAACAGCACCGAGGAGCAGCCATCAGGCCCGAGAGGACAAGACAGCATGTGGCGAAATGAGAAGTATGAAACTGTCCCATTGGATGTAAAGGAGATTGATGAAGGCAATTCTAAAGGCACTAGAGATTCTCTATACCCCCAGACTGCTGTAAGTCACAACAACAGACAAACATTCCTCTGCACTCATTTTGACCATTTTATTACCAGTTCCTCATCTGTTTTCTTGTCTTTCTAGTACAGCATAATTTGCAAAGCAAACTATGGACAAATATTTGGACATTTGAATGCTTCAGTTTACACCTTTGTCAGGAACAGGCGATATGTGAGGAGGTTAAATTACATAAATAGTCACATTTGCATTGTAATTCTACCGTTTATGCAAGACAAATAATCTTCTTAGCCCTTATCATGGCTGATAATTCATAAAACAACCAAATATATTTTTTTTTCATGAAAAGATAAAGCTTGCCAAACACATCTCGTACTCCAGATGGTGCAATAAACTTTAAGCTCTGCCGAGTTTGCGTACCCTTTGGGTGTGCAAAACTACTTTGCATACCGAGGGCGCATTTGAACGTCTTTGCAAATCTGCAGGACAGGCTGGTCACTTTGAAATACCCTCTGCTAATCCTAAATGACTTTATGCAAATGTATTCAATCATGTGTTGGGTGCATGTTCATAGATTTGGTACTTTTTGAGTGGTGCATTACTCATTCTTATAAGGTTGTAACCACATATTCAGGATTAAGGAAAAACAGTACTTGCCCATCAACGTCCATCATTCGTTAATTTGTTAACCATAGTCAATAAAGTCAATAAAGTTTTCACAGCTTGCAGACGATGGAGCTGTGTGTGCTCGTGACTCTTTAGCTCCGCCCACGAGCTCCTCCAGGAGCTCAAATATTTTCTGAGAGAAGCAGTACAGCTGTATCTGTCTTTTATAAATCTGATAAAACTAAAGACTCTTCGGAGATATGAGGGATGAAATGCTACTCTGTAGATACTCAAGATTAACATGAGATTGGCAGGAACTGTGTGTTATGTCCGCTTTAAGCTTCTGTAATGTAATGTATAATATAACATAATAAATAATGTCATTTAAAAGTCAAATTATATATAGGCACGGGAATTGGGCAATTTATTTAGCCTTTTTGACTTCTTTCTCTGAGCTAACATGATTTGAGTGTTGGTACCGTCGCTATAGATGTTTTGGTGTTCACATAAATTCTCATAGATTCTCACTTCCTCATTACGCAGAACTGGTTTAATATATGAGCTGGAAACCCTGAGGTCTTGGAATCAAACCTCACAAGGGATGACTGTAGAGTTACTGAGTTCTAGACCGTTCTTAAGCAGTGTGCACTGAATGTTCTAAAAACACTGTGCCTGCAGTAAACTATATACTAGGTGTATCTGTTTTTTTTATTTTATTTTTTGTTGAAAGCATCTGCTAAAAACCAAAATGACTTCTGTGTGTGGCTTTTAAGCAGAAGGACCAAACTGTGCTGCTCAATGCCAGGAGGAAAATACCTTCGGCTGATTGCCTCTTTGTCCTGATAAATGTATTATTGCACTGCTCATTTGTTGGAAAAAAGAAGTAGATTTTTACTCTGTGTCCCCTTGTCATTATTGGTTTAGAAAAAGATGTTCTCTGTTTCTGTGTAAGACAAACCCACTTGCAAATACTTGCATGCATCAGTAAATTGTTTTATAGTTTCTGTAATCTGTAAAGTACTGTAATGCAAATATACACTACTGTTCTAAAAGTTTGCAGTTAGTAAAAGTTTATATTAGGAAAAAGAAGTTTGTCATGCTCATCAAAGCTGCATTTATTTGATCCAAGTAAAGTAAACCAGTAATATTGTGAAATATTGTTACAATTTAAAATAAATGTTTTCTGTTTTAATATGTAATTTATTTTTGTGATTGCAAAGCTGAATTTTCAGCAGCCATTGCTCCAGTCTTCAGTGTTAAGATCTTTCGTGCTGATTTGGTGCAACATGTCTTCTTAATATAAATGTTGAAATACTGTTTGGGAAAAAAATACTATTTGATATACGAAAAAATACTGTTAAAATACTATTTTCATTTTATTTTATTCTTTAATGTCTATAAAGTTCAAAAGAGCAGCATTAACTAATCTGAATTTTGAAATGTTCATTTTCTTTATAACAATGTAAAAGTCTTTACTGTCATCTTTGATTAGTTTAATGTATCCCTGCTGAATAAACAAAATAATACAAAAAAACACACCAAAATTAAACAGTAGTTTAGATGCACCAATAGATTTAAACATAGGTAATCATGCTGTCAAAAACAGCTAATTTAACATCTTTCCCCCCAAAGAAATTAGCTATCATTTGTTAACTAGGATTTGTTTGGTGGGTAGTAGCTCTCTTGCCCCATGTTTCTGTGTGTCCTTGTTCAGACTAAAAACACCCAAAATCACAGCACTCAAACTAACAGAGTAACACTGAAAGCACCACAGAGGCACAATGTTTACCATACACTGGAAAATCAGCCTATGAATGGTTTACTTATAGTTGTGAAGTAAGCTGGAATAGAATAGTGTTTAACGTAAATACACATTTAAAAGGCCAGAAATGTGCCACACCCTTTATAAAATGTAAGAAATTGTTTACTGGAAGTCTGTTACATTCTCTGAGTACACAGGCAGATTTATGTCTGTTTTTGTGAGAAGTGTAAAGATTACTTAATATTACTAATTGAATTTATTTTTGGTTTATAAGTTTTGAGTTTGAAGGTCACAGTTAGCATCATGATTTGTGACCCTGGACCACAAAACCAGTCATAAGGACCAATTTCTCGAAATTGAGATTTATACATCATCTGAATAAATAAGCTTTCCATTGATATATGGTTTGTTAGGATAGAACAATGTTTGGCCGAGATACAACTATTTGAAAATCTGGAATCTGGGGGTGCAAAAAAATCAAAATACTGAGAAAATCGCCTTTAAAGTTGTCCAAATGAAGTTCTTAGCAATGCATATTACTAATCAAAAATTAAGTTTTGATATATTTACGGTAGAAAATTGACAAAATATCTTCATGGAACATGATCATTACTTAATATCCTAATGATTTTTGGCATAAAATAAAAACGATAATTTTGACCCATACAATGTTTTTTTGGCTATTGCTAAAAATATACCCCAGCGACTTAAGACTGGTTTTGTGGTCAAGGGTCACATTTTGTTATTGCAAAGTCATTTTCAGATCCTGTTATCGCTTCTGTCTATATGATTTTTATCTCTTTATTTATTTTGAATAAAATGTCAAAAGATATTTACTTTAAATCATGTAATATAATCTACTAATGCAAATTAGTCTCTTATACAACTATACAGATGCATATAATATTCTTTTATAAACTGTTTTTTTTTCCTAGCTCCAGAAAGCTCAGCAGGTAAACGAGAGACCAAAGGACGCAAAACTGTGGCCATACTTCCAGGATGGCTTAAGGCGGATAGATTATGTCCTCACCTACCATGTCCAGAAACCCCAGAGCACCCACAAACAGTCGTCCAAGTCCTGCTTGTGCTGCGGATTCAGACGTGAACAGAAAAACCTACCTGCTCATGAGGACCCCGAACTCGCAGCCCAGGAGCAGAGGCTGGATTACCATGAGGACGACCAGCGCCTCCGCAGGGAGGAGTTTGAGGAGAACCTGCGAGAAATGGGCCTTGAGATGGAGAAAGAGGAAGGGGTGAGTCCCACTGTGTTTTCATTTACAGTGGGGTTCATTAAAATCTGGGATTCATAATCTAATTTGACACAAAATAAATAAGTAATTTTTCAGTATTTAAATTTTTTAAATTTTATTTTATTTTATTTTTACAATGCCTACAGGCAGTTATTTAGGGCATCCAAGACCAAGTCCTACTTATTTGAATGGGGAAATCCTAAATTCTCAAAAGCTGCTTGACACACTCACATTTGAATTACATAATCTGACATTAAACCTGACATTAACTATCCTATAAATCTTGTTTCTACTGCTTAAATAGAGTTTTAAAAAGCTTTTATTTCAGGCTGGACTAGCCAATGCATATGTGCTGTCCTATAATGCGCATGTCCTAAACGCACATCCTATGGTTCTTTTATTTAAAAGGTGGGTATTATTCCGCCATATTGCACGTTGCATTTTTTTCCATTCATAAATAATATGAGTACACCATCTTTGTATATCTAAAAGTTAAAACCAAGAACCATAACTATAAAGATAACTAACGAAAACTGTATTGATAACTATAACAATAACTATGTTACTGTACACACCAACCCCTGCAGTTCTGTCATCTGCTGCTTTAAATGCTTGAGCTCTTTAAAGCTATACAAATTCTGATTGGGGCTATTCTTTTAAATTTGAAACCTTTTTTTTTTTGGTGTGACCAGTCAAGTCTGTGATTGAATTAGAAAACTGGAAATAGACTGATTTTTATGTTTTTGAACCATGGGGTATATTTCAAAAACTAGGGGACATTAGCCGATTTCACACATTAAACCTGGTAAATTACCATTAAAATTGCTGAATTTTCTTTACTGGTGAATAAGACGACATTTCATTTACATTTATGCATTTCGCATAAACGACTTAAAAGATTTTACTTCTCTGCTAGCTTGTTTCCCAATCTAGCTGTGAAATAATTCTCCCAGGGTATACTATGTGCATTGCTTGCTCTGTGATGAATTGTTTATGTTTCTCTATTGTAAGTCACTTTGGATAAAAGTGCCAGCTAAATGCATAAATGTAGTAGTAATTTTTAGAACTTCTAATCCTGGTATTTCTCAAAAGGCCCTGTTCATACATGAACTCTAACAGTAATTCACCAGTAATTTACCAGAAAATATTATGTGTGAAAGAGCCTACTGTGATTTGCCTTTTTGTAAGTTTCTGTCACCAAGGCTATAAATTCAGCTGGAGTTCTGCCACTGCGAATGATACCGTCCACCCACTGAGAGACGCAACCATGCACATCAACTCTAGCAATGAAACTTACGACTGATAAATTGGCTTGTTAGCCAAGCATTGGACCAAACTTCATGTAGACATTTAACAGTCTGGATGCGTGAGACTATCGTCCTCATGAAAATTAAATTCAAAGACCAGACCGCTGAAATGGCAATATGTTTGAGGCTGATACATTACTTTGATCCTAAATTCCTTCGTGTATTATGACCATTATTTGTCTTAACCTCTCTAGCTTTTTAAATGAATTCAGGTTTAAGTGATTCACTTATACAGCAGCAAAATCATCCCCTGTTGTTGACCCAGTTTTGAAACACTTCAGTGGTGTGGAGGACTACACTAATAATGTTATTTGTCAGCAGGTATCTTCTCAGTGATGTTTCCCAGTGATAATATTTTTCTCATTTTTTTTTTATTTTATTTTACAAGCCGTGGAAACACTAAGTCGGCTTGTAGAAATGGTAAAGCAGTTTATTACATATTATTGACATTAAAGAGTTGTCACCCTTAGGATACATGAAATTATTTCTCTAAATTGTTCCCCAGTCCCGCCAACGCTATAATTGCTAATTGTAAGAATGAATTAATTTGATTGTTGGCAATCATAAAACAAGTTCACACTTCACACTCACAACTGTGTAATGCTGCTAATTTGCAGTTTTATTATGATTAGCGGCTTGTCTTTCAAGCTTAACTTCTATAAACCCATGTCATATGCTTTGACGTTCGCAGATTACAGGGATTTAACTTTCTCCACTACACTGGATGTTCTCATAGACCGCTCAGCCAGAATTAGGTGAAGAGGTCTTAATGGACTACTCATCAACAAAGTGAAGTGTTTATCGTGCAGAGGATAATAAACTGAAGTCTTAGTCGAAAGGACTAAGATTTGCAGCTCTCCTAAAGTACGGAGAATTGCTTCCTAAATATAAATAATTTGGGTTCACTACTTTAATATTCTGATTATTGTTTGTTATTTCATGTCACACAGGGTCTTATATCAAGACATTTTTAGCTACCTCTCTTTCTGAGTTGAATTATGTCACATGAATATTATTTCTGAACTTTAAAGAATCATATTATTTCACCTCAGACCAAATTTTGTGCCAGAAACAATTTTTTTTTTCTGTATAAAATGAATCACTGTGTTTGGCAAGGCCAATGTGAATGAAAACATAATGAAATACTGATACTATAAGAAAAACTTGCTCTGTTTGAATCATGTTGTCAAAAATGATGATGTCACTCCCCTAAACTAAGATCAAACCATTGGGTTTAGAGAGGGAAAAATTTATAAAATAATGTTTTGAAATCTGTTTTATTCTAAAAGTTATTTTGTCTTATACACGGAAGAAACACTAGTAAGACACAACTAAAATGGTACCATGTTAAGATGTCATTTTTTTATTTAATTGGGGTTGAATTAGACTTGTAAATACTTGTATATAATGTAGTCTAAGAGCAGAAATACCTGTTTGTGTTGTTCTTCACTGAAAGCAGTGGCTGGGAGTGAACAGACTGGGTCAGACCTTGTGTGTGGGATGCGAGTTATAACAAGAGTGGGTCATTCGAAGCAAATCTTACATAACCCTCTTTTCAGCTTCAGAAAACCAAGAGAGAAGTCCTTCTCTTCACAGCTGAGAGGTTTTTTTTTTTTCATTTCTGTGAATTTCTCTCAAAAGGTCCTTCATGAAGAAAAAAACCTAGTGTGTTAAACCCTTGAAAAGAGATCTTGTCCATTTCTTGGATAGTTTATGAATGGTTTGCATGTTTATCCTTCAGAATACTGTGTATGAGCAATGTTGATAGTGGTGCTTATAAATGATAAGCATCCCTATTAATATCGCTTAGAGTTGAACCCAAGGTTTTTATATTAACTGCATAATTCTCACACCATTTGATGAAAATGTGTGAATGATATCTATTGTAAAATTGTGAATCTTTTTGAAAAGTGGTGTGCTATTATTTTCATGTGAATATTGTCGTGGTGTGCAATAACACCGTTTTTGATCACAGACGATTAAAATGTTATGGTTACCCACATTCTTCAACTTCAACATAACTTGTATGTTCGACAGAAGAAGGAAAATCATTCAGGTTTAAATTTTTTTTTTTTTTACCTTGCAAGGCTTTGTTTTTAAAATAAGGAAATTAGTTTGGCTGTACTTGCAAAATAGTAAAACCAACATGACAAAGAATCGTGACTTTCCAGAAAAAAATCATGATATGATATTTTTGGCCATATCGCCCACCCATACGTACAATAAAAACAGCCAAAACATTCCATAGATTTAGATGGACTTGGGATCGACCGACCCATATGTAGGTGCCAGTATACCATAGAGACTTGGGGGTGGGCTTTTTAACTTGGGCCAGTAAGCAACCACGCAAGTTTTGCCAGTGCAAACACCACTCACGTTTTATTCATAAAGCAAAAAGCCTGTGATATGTGCTCTAACATGATCTGCAATATCACCCTCCTTCCCTCAAGGTGATTTTACTGCTGAGAACACCACAGCGTGCTGTTCGTATGCTGAGGCCATGTTTCTTTATCTTTGTTTTTCAGACTAAACTACCAGGTGTGGGATTCTTGAAGATTCATGCGCCTTGGGACGTTCTTTGTCGAGAAGCTGAGTTTATGAAGCTCAAAATGCCAACAATAAAGGTATATTGTCTTATCAAGCGATAAAGAGAATCTGTGTGCTCTACACAAACATGATGTGCTCTGCTGTGCTATCATGTCATTTTCAGAAATATGTAGTCAGTCAGGGAAGCAGCATTGCAGAGAAGGTCAACGTGTTTATCCAGAAAGTCACTGCACCCTTGCAACCTAACGTTGGGGAAAACCAGACGGAAAATGAGAAACCCCTCTCCTACCCGTTCTCACGAGAAAAGCAGCATCTGTAAGTCTATAGTCATTCATTGCCACACTAAGCTCATGTTTAAGATGATTGCTGACCTCCTAGGCATTTTCATTCATTGACTACAATGAATGAAAATGATCACACATGATTTTGCCAGATGCTAGTTTTAATGTAGAAAACAATATGCGATTGTTATAAATGTTAAAGTAGTGAAGTATGATGGATGGTCACTAATAATCCTCTGAAAGGCAGTGTACTGTAAATGCGCCTTTGGTTTTTACTGCCCCATGGAATGTTATTGCCTGTAAAATTGAATAGGGAGGCACAAAACAGTCAATGAAATGACACGCAGTTTCTTTTCACAGCTTTGATTTATCAGACAGAAATTCCTTCTTCGACAGCAAAACCAGGAGCTCAATAGTAAGTACCAGTCCTCTTAGAAAACTGTTTTGCCTACATAGTCAGGGACGATTTAAAACCCAATGTCATTTATGCCCTGATTTGATTACCAAAGGGCCTGTGTGGCTCCACACCAAAATGTCACTGACGTCAAAGTTGTTCTTTTCGTGGACAATAATTTCAGTCACTTGATCTGTCAGCTGCCTCTTACAATGCTGTCCAACCTCAGATTGATTTTCTCAGCAGGGTTTATTTATTCTTGCTATTTTAGGTCTCTTAAAGGTATCCTGTGATATTTAGAATGTCCGTTGTCTACTGTTTAATGTTACATCTTGAGTCTAGTATTATCAATCAGGAGTTATATTTATAATCATCTTTTTAAACCTATTTATAATGATCAACAGGTGTATGCGATTTTAAAACGAACAAAATGCACAAGGGCCAAGTATATCATGGGTAAGTCTCATCTTCTTATTTTTGCTTGACAAGCTAGTGCAAATCAACCTGAATCCCATCCAATAGTGTTGTTGAATTGAAATGTTATCAAAAATCAATGGTGACACTTTATTTTAAAAAGTGTCTGTTACATGTACTTACTGAAGTGATAACAATAAATGTGGCATAATTATAAGTAGCTAACAGTAAACCAAACCCTAATTCTAATCTTATATTAAGTACCTTGTTAATTAATATAACTCATTACTTAATTGTAATTGACACTGTAACAAGGACACCTTAAAATAAAGTGTAACCAAATCATGCCATAACTAAGGTATAGCTGCTGTGCAGTTGAAGCACCTAGTCTACAGTTAGTTGTGTAACGTGTGAACCATAACGTCACCAGTGCAACTTTAAATGTGTACAAATAATGAGCAAACATCTCACACATACCCCTTCCAATAATATCCATGGACAGTGATTGGTTGAATAGATTAGTGATTCATGAGTATATTTTAGGTCTTTTCAAACTGTGCATAACCCTGGGTTATCATCGTTCTAAAACCTGCTTTTAACCCTCGATAAAGGTTCGTGTCACACTTGTAATTTAGTAGCAGGGTTAGCACCGCTTTTACCCAGGGCACGGATTGTGCACTGATAGAATGTTATGCCTAGATACTTAGCAGCTGACAGCCAATCGTGCCCATATCCACATGATTTAGACAGTCATGAAAACACTGCTCATTGTATGAACAGTCATTGGTGACAGAAATAGTGACATAAACCTGAATAGGAGTAAAGAAGAGACTGCATTATTCTTACCTTTACAGTCCACTGAAAAGGCCATTCAGGAAAAACTTGATAGTATGGAATGTAGAGTATAATACGAGGAGCCATTTCATGCTGTGTTTGTCCAATCAGTGGCACTGACACCACAAAAAAGAACGCACAGTGTGAATGGTAATCTTATGAATACCCAGTATTAATTGTTAATTGAGCGATGTGAAACAAGAATCAAGATAACCCAGGATTCCATTTACACCAGGGTTTTTAAATGACCCAGGGTTAACTATTTCAAGTGTGAAAAGCCTTTTTGTGTTTAACAGCACAACAATAAGCAGTCGACTCGATTGATTTCTTGTTTACAGGAATCAGCAGTCTGCTGGGCAGTGGTGTCTACACAGAGGCCTACCCATTGCATGATGTGAGTGACGCCATATTTTGTTCTTCCAGTTTTCTCCAACTGATTGTTAATAATTAATAATTTCATATTTTTACATACAGGGTGATATTGATGGTGTACATGCTGAAACCAATGACAGAAAGGTAAAAGACATTACGATACTCATACTAATATACTAATAATATTTCAATATTTACAATACAACACCTCAGGTTTTGCTTGTATAGAAAAAAGCTGTCACCATAATACTTATGAGTTCTAATACCACACTGTTTCCTCACTATGTTAGCAACTGTCCTCCACATGAGTGACCAAATAATCTTTGAAGTGACCCCCGTCAGCAGTGTTTAAGGACTACATATGTGACCCTGGACCACAAAACCAGTCTCAAGTCGCTGGGGTATATTTGTAGCAATTGCCAACAATACATTGTATGGGTCAAAATTATTGATTTTTATTTTATGCCAAAAATCATTAGGATATTAAGTAAAGATCATGTTCCATGAAGATATTTTGTAAATGTTCTACTGTAAATATATTAAAACTTAATTTTTGTTTTGTAATATGCATTGCTAAGAACTTCATTTGGACAACTTTAAAGGCGATTTTTTTTTCAGTATTTTGATTTTTTGATTTTCAAATAGTTGTATCTGATATATGATATAAATATGTGACATCCTATCCTAACAAACCATACATCAATGGAAAGTTTATTTATCCAGCTTTCAGATGATGTGTAAATCTCAATTTCGAAAAATTGACCATTATGACCGGTTTTGTGGTCCAGGGTCACATATTTGGTTTGTGCTGTATACACTGTTATGAAAAAAAAAAAAGAAAACTGATTTGAATCATGCAAAAAATTGATTTGGGACACTTTTATATTTATATTTTTTATATTTGTTTTATATTACAATTAAGAAAAACAATTAAAAACTATAGTAATATGAATAATTTACATTTTAATTAATTTTAGTGTTATAGTCAATTTTATAATATATCTTTCTTCCTTACTGTAACTGATTTCTCAGTTGCTAATATTAATTATAAATATGTGATACTGTGCATTATTTTGTATCTAGTGGTATTGATACAATTAAATATTACCAGGAATAAAATGTTGTGTGTATGTAGAGGAAGCAGGACACTTTCCTAAAACACAAATGAAGATATTTCTGAACATGTTTTAACAGGTTAATCAAAAATATTTTTCTTTAGATGAACATTATGGTGACTGCAATTGTTGAAGTGTCGGGCAGCACACAAAAACTGCTGCCTTTGTACCTAGGGTGATAGGAGATAATGAAGGCATAATTCAGAGATTTGCAAGGCCAGAAAGGTGCCTGCAATAAGGTTTCCAGCATTCAGATGAGATCAATCAATAGGATATATAAAGTGATAAATTCTTCCATTCCAATCTCTAATCTCTGTGTTCTTCACTTTACCATCTGTAGAGAAAAGAGTTGTTATCATTGAATCCTCTCTACATCTGCTGTCTTAGACTGTTTTGCATTTTTATCAATACATTTAAATTCGTTTACCTGTTTGGACACTTTTATGGCATACTGTAAGAATCTGGTAATTGAATCTCATGTTGACCACTTAAGATATAATTAAACCCTATAAATGGGCTGCAAAATCCTAGCTTGTGTAGAGGAGACCTGGTGAGACTCTGGACTTGCCTGCAGCAAGCTCAGACTAATTGTCAGGTCACCAAGGCAACAGGATCATTTCCCACTTCAGCCATCTGTGAGCAGCGCTCCTGCAGGCTTACTGTTGAGTCGTAGTGGGTAGTGTAGCCCTTCTCAAAATAATGTATAACGGTTATTTTCAAGAACTAAAAAAAAAAAAAGTAAATGTTTCATTTTTTCACAGCAAACCTCAAGGGACCTTGGAGAGAGTTGGTGTTTTGGTTTGTTTAGTGTGTTAATTTGCATGCAAATACAGTAGATGCATCACAGGTTCATAAATATATTAAGCAGCACAACTTGTTTCAAACTTTGATAATAAATCAGCATATTAGACTGATTTCTGAAGGATCATGTGACACTAAAGATTGGAGTAAAGGCTGATGAAAATTCTGCATTGCATCACAGAAATAAATGATATTTTAAAGGGGTCATCGAATGCAAAATTCACTTTTGTTGTTGTTTGAACATAAATGTGTGTTGGAAGTGTGTGTACACATCCACCCTATAATGATAAAAATCCACGCAGTGTTTTTTTTTTTTACCGTATTGGCCCGAAGACGACCCTGATTATAAGACGACCCCCCTTTTTCCAGATGTACCTTTTGGAAAAAGGCTTTTTAAAAACCAAATCTTGTTTTTTTTCAGTAAAACACATTTTGTCTTCAATTATTTTCATATTGCATATTTTTCCTATTTTAATTTTTGTTTTGAAAGTATGGTAAAAACTGGTCAAATGTACCAACAATCACATTTAAAAAATATACACTTTTTGATATACCATTAAAAAAAAAAAACAGGTAGCCCATCTGAATTAGGACATTTAGGCTATCCATCTAATAGTAGCCTACCAAAATCTTATTAACAGTAGAAGTTAAATCTTACTGTAGTCTTCAAATCTGGGTACTGTCTTACGTTTTAAAATCACAAAGGGAGTTTTGTCCGATCAGGCTAACATGACAGTCACGACTCATGCAGCTGTAAGGTTTTCTTTTTCTTTTGTTTTTACTCGCGATCTTTACAACACACATTACATTACGTATTTCATGGCACACTCGTTTTATGCGTATTTGGCGCCACCTATTGTTGTGGGTGTATTATTGACATGTCAAAGTCTAGACCCTGAATATAAGACGACCGCGTTTTTTCAGATGTATTTCCAAGAAAAAAACATTGTCTTATATTCGGGTCAATACGGTAAATCCCTATTTTAAAATCCCCTTTCTCAAATCAGGCTGTTCTGAGATTCCTGTCAGAATGACATCGTTCTGCACAGGCCCCTCCCACGATAGTTGATTGACAAGTCCGTTTTACCTTAGACCCGCCCTGAGTGAGCTGAGAGCCGCCATTGTGTTTACTCCAGTGCAGGGGAAGACAGACATCTGAGCCGCTGAAGACGCAGAGGATTAACGTTACTTTCGTGTTTGAAAGGAATGCGCAGATCCCCGATCTGCCTAAATGCGTTTTAAGTTTGCACGAATCATTCGTGATCCAGCTTCATCTACAGAAAAAGTGAGTATAGGTTTATAAGGGTTTTTTATGAATCTTTGCAAATCGCCTTTCCTAATGATGTGCTAGTTAGCAAGTTTAACGGCTGAAGTTTACAGTCTGCTCGTCACCCCATGGAAGAGAGGGGCGGGGTCAGCAGAGCTCATTAGCATTTAAAGCAACATGGACTAGAACGGCGTGCTGAAAACAGAGCTGATTTTGACAGGGTAAAAAGGGTGTTTTTTACACTACCATTGAGACATTTTAATCAAAGTATGTTATAGAATTTTCATTAAGACCCTGAAGAATAATATAAACTTGTGGAAAATGGGCATCCGATGACCCCTTTAAAGGATATTAAAATAAAAAAAAAATATTTTAAATTGTAATAATATTTCTCAATTTTTTGATCAAATAAATGCAGCCTTGATGAGCATAAGAATCTTATGCTGAGTGGTCACTGCTTGTTTACTTGGTGATTAATCCATCCATTTCCACTAGTTTGACCCATTCAAGGCGATTTGTGGATATGTTGAAAATATATCCTAATGTGAATGCAACAAGCTCAAGGGAAACAAAACAGACCCTGTCTGCTTCTCAGATTTATCTGCTGGTTTCACTGTTGAATGTTGTTATTAGAGGGTTGTGCATTATTTGATGTCATATTTCATAATGTTTTGGCCTTCCCTCCCTTGCTTTCTCAGACAAAACATTTCTTTTCTTTGACTTAAGTGTGTTCTGGAGACTGGAGATCTCTGTGCAGCTGTGTTGTAAATCTGCCTTCACTTACTCATATAACTGTAGTACATTACATCCCCAGGAGCACCGAACCGAAGTCATTACATTCTAAATTACTAACATGATGGTAGAGAGAGCCTTCATTTGTCCTTTTCATCATTGTTCACTGGAATAATCAGTTATTTTGCCATTTCCATTAAACCCCTAAATGCACTCACTATGTATTTCAGCCATGCTGTATGAATGGAAGTTGAATCGTTGTTCCAGGATGTATGTAATTTTAGTTCTGTCTTTGCAGATCTTGTATGAACAGTGGGCGAGTTACAGCATATTCTACAAGTACCAACCCATCGGACTAGTCAGGTATCATCCTCACAATAAATGCACTGCCAGAGACCGAGACAGATGTTTGCCCTGGAATTATGAACTATAAAGAAGGGAGATTTTAGGAATACCTTACTGACACGCATTATTCAGGAGTCAGATTGTCAAAAGCCCTATTCAGACAGGATTTGTTTAAAGGACACAGTGTAGCTGTGGATGTCTGTAATGTTTATCATCTGGTTATTTAGGATGAGCAATGTCTGACAAATAAGTGAATATCTGATGTCAAATAAGTCTGTTTACTGCAGGGTCATAGTTAACTAAATCAAGCAATTAAAATTTTTTTTTCGTTATTTTAAATAAACATTAATTGAAATAAAATAAAGAATATATATATATATATTAGTTCTGCTAGATTTCTAAGGCAACATTTCTGAGTTTTGTTTATCTACTTAAAGTACTAAAATAACTCAAACTAAAGTAAATAAACTAAAACTAATTTTGGAAAAGAAATAATAAGAGTAAGCTGTAATTAAAATATGTTCTTTTTACTTATTTCATTACATAACATGACCTTTTTAGAATGAATAGAATTTAATCTTTTGTTGACGTAACCTTTCATTGCACATTGAAAAGACTGAAAATCTATTTACACTCAGGCTACAGAAAAGGATATTTTTTTCAGATGTTTACTACATAGTAATTGACACTTCTTTTGCTTGACTTCATTGTCTTTATTGCTCTACTTGAAACTGCTTTATCTCTCTCAGGAAGTATTTTGGTGAGAAAGTTGGCCTGTACTTTGCCTGGCTGGGAGTGTATACTCAGATGCTAATCCCAGCAGCAATTGTGGGAGTCATTGTGTTCCTGTACGGCTGTGCCACTGTGGACGACAACATCCCCAGGTCACCTTATGAAATTTATTTGATTGGTTTATTTGCATTGTTTTTGTACAAAGTGTGCTAACTAGCATGTGACCCCTCCCTAAATCGTTGACCGTTACATACATAAATTATCAGCTTATTACTGTGTTTAATTATGTATAATTAGTTTGTCACATAATTTTGATTGACACATTCTTATCTGTGCCATCAAGTTCAAATGCATTCCACCATCTCACACCCTTAAGAAACAAGTTTCAGCAGCGTCTCCCAACAGCAGTACATACTCTTTTGCAATGGCTTTATGAAAGTAATCTCTGTTGCCCTTTGCAAGAAAAATGGATGGATGTTGAAGCGTGTGGTAATTAGGGAGTTCAGAGTGGGTTTGAAATGGTGCGACTGTAATGGACTGTAATGTAGTGTATAATGAGAGTGACTCAGTGTTCGCTGGCCGTCTTGCAGCGACATTCATTAATTCCACAGATGCCACAGCTGAAAACAAGCTGTTCCAAAACCTACCTAGGAAAAAATTGAAGCATTATATGGACACCACTGATATGAAGTACTGTATGTTTCAAATAGTAGCCAGCAGAATTATGCTGCCTTTACACTGCAAGTTACACCGCATGCTTTAATGTTTGCAGAATACCAGTGAATTGCTGTAAACGTCTATCCACAGAAATGGAAATTGTGCAAAAAAAAAAAAATTCACATTAAATTTACTGCACATACAGAGATGAAGTTTGTGAGAAGCAGCATTTACTGTTAACTGAGATGTTTTGATGATATTAAAATAAAAACTGTAATCTGTAACACAATGCCGCTTTTTACTCTGAAACAGGCAGTGCAACAGACTATTTAGTTATCTAATTAAATTGCAGCCTTTAATTTGATAATAACAGCCATTTATTTATTTTAATCTTACATTTTATTTAATTTTTAGCTTTTAATTGAACTCCATGCAATTCCCTCACAAACCCCCAGGGGTTATAATTAAATAACACTGTGAAACTGTAATCAAATACAACGTTGAGTTGCCAAAATATTATTTTAATTTTTAAATGATTGATTTTAGTTTTTAGTGTTTCATTTGTAATTTATTTTGACATTTTCTTACATTTAATATAATTATCGGTAGTTGTTAGCATAGCAACATGCTAAAGCATGAGTGCCCAGTTTCTTATGCATTTCATGTGAAGATCACTATTTGCGCAGTGCATACAGTTGCTGCTTTTGTAGAACACTTCATATTAGCCATCACATCTATTTAGACATCAAAGCAACTCACTATGTTTTGGAACAAGAATACAGAAGCTGAACACAGAATAAATGCGTTTTCTTTCAGAAATAATAAAAGCTAACAAGATAAAAGCTAAAAAAAAATATGAGGGGAAAAAATACACTGCAGCCTTAATTAATAGCTTTACAGAGAAACATTATGGTGTCTAGGGAAACATTGATACGTGATGCATTTCTGAAATCAGGTTTTCTTCTTTGTGTACTCAGTATGGAGGTCTGCGACGAGAGAAACAATATCACCATGTGCCCAATGTGTGACCGAGCCTGCAGCTACTGGAAACTGGTCACGGCTTGTGGCACAGCTAGGGCCAGCCACCTGTTTGACAATGCGGCCACCGTCTTCTTCGCCATCTTTATGGCACTATGGGGTCAGCAGCTCTGTTCTCCTTTCATGTTCACCCGCACGCTTTGTTGCTGCTGTACACCAACTGTTGTGTCTCTACATATTGAGGACAGAATTGCTCTGACAAATGCTGAAGAGATTTGTGCCCTGGTTTTACACTTCACTTTAATTCCCCCTGTACTCATCCCCGCTCAAATGCTGAGCTTCTTAAAAAGCTGATTATTTTGGCTAAAGCCCTAAATTTGCTTTTCCTGTTTTAATCCCCTACAGTTACAGGCTTTGAAATGAAAAATGACACCCTATGACAAGGCTACTTGCTACCTTGAGTCCTCTTTAAAAGAATCAAAGTGAGCCGTTTTTAAGTGAACCAGAAAGTGAATCGAGTGGAAAGAGAATCCAGTTCTTTTTGCATTCATACTGCTGAGCTTGAAAGTGGGCTCAGATCTCTTTTTGTTTCACTTTTGTTGTGATCGGTTCTCAATCCACTTTCCATTTACACTGACCTAAAGTGAACTGTATTCAGTGCACTTCCTCAGATAGTTTGGTTTAGTTCTCTTTAAAGGGGTCTGAGGTTGTGGTGAACATTTACATATAAGCTAAAATTGTAAACCGGACTCAAATGGTTCAAATGAACCAAGTGTGAAAACACAATTAGAATAGATTCCCGAAAAAAGGTTTTAAAGCCCAATGTTATAGGAGAACCTTCCATGGTTCCTAAGAAAAACACCTATGTATTAGTGATATCCAAAGTTACAAGGTATGGAAATGAATGAAAGAATATCAAAAAAATAATTATTTTTGCATTCATACAGCATTCAGACTCAGATCTCTTTCTGGTTCACTTTGGCTGTGATCGGTTCTCAGTCTACCTTCCATTCATACTGGCCTAAAGTGAACTGTATTGAGAGCACTTCCTTAGATGGTTTCAGTTCTCTTTTAAAGGGATCTGAGGTTGTTGTGAGTGTTCACACATAAACTGAAATTATGAACCAGACTCAAACACAAAACAAACTGTGTGAAAACACCTTTAAAATACAACTTCCCAAAAAGTTTTACAGCCTGATGCTATTGGAGAACCTTCCATGGTTCTTTAGAAAACATTTATGTGTTAGTGATTTCCAAAGTTACAACTATGGAAATGAATGAAAGAATATTGAAAAATAATTCTTTTTGCAGTCATACTGCTGATCTTGAAACTGGACTCGGATCTCGTTTTGTTTCACTTTGGTTATGATCGGTTCTCGATTCAATTTCCATTCACGCTGACCTAATGTAAAGTGTATTCAAAACACTTCCTCAGATGATTTCAGTTTAGTTCTCTTTAAAAGGGTTCACACATAAGCTAAAATTGTGAATTGGATTTAAACGCTTAAAACAAAATGCATTCAAATATAGGTTCTTAAAAAAACATTTTACAGCCTGATGGTTCTTCCATGGTTCTTCAGAGAAAACATTGACGTATTAGTGATTTCCAAAGTTACCAACCCTAGAAATGAATTAAATAAGAAGGAAAAATATTCTTGATAAGAAGAGGGCATTCTTGGGTTTATTTAAAAAAAAAAAAAAAAAGCCCCTGAGAAAGTACAGGCTTCATTTGTAGCTATAATAACTGAGAATTCGCCCTGATCAGAGCTGAGCCGATCAATAAGTATAAATATGGGTTTGTTAGTGAAGGTTACTGCTCTGTGTCACACAGCCACCATGTTTATGGAGCACTGGAAGAGAAGGCAAATGAGGCTCAATTACATCTGGGACCTGACCAGCTTTGAAGACGCCGAGGTTAGTCACACACACCCATGTTGACCAAGAAAAGTGTCAATATAAGACATTTGATGTACGTGTTGATAAGATAATTATGTGGGTTTATGTATGTTTTGTAGGCGTGCTTCATTTGTGTAGACTTGTGTTATCCTGAGGCTTGGGTGTAAAGAATTAAACATGTCCTTTTTTATTGATTCAGTGCCATGAAATCAAACTTGTTTTTTCACTGTTTGTTTTTTTTGTCCTGTTTTGTATAGGGAAAACAAAAGGTTTGGAATCGGTTCATTCACAGTATTAACTAAATTTATTTCCTTCCTAACCTAACAGTTGCATTTTAGTACTAACATATTCTTCATATTATCTTAAAAGTCGTCTTCAAGCATCGTCGTCACATTCTTGCTTGTGTAAAGTATTCCACCAGCACTTATCTATCTATCGGTCTGTTGCTGTGGAGGTCTGGGAGATTCCTGTTCTCTCTTCCTCCGGCCTTACAGGTCAAAAGCTGCTCACTTTCCTTTCGGCAGTCACAGTCTTTCCAGGCTTGCCACTGTTTATGTGGATAAAATAAGCAGGAGGAACTAATAAATCCTAAAGCTGCTGAATGTAGAAAGGAATATGTATTTGTGGTGCTGAGAGCTTTTGGTTTTAAGGATTATACTTTCACTGAATATCACTGTGTTGCTATTACCAGAATATCTGTTCTGTTCACTGATCATGCACATGGCTGCTTTTGGCTCCATAACCAGTTATCTCTTTCTGCTGTTTTTCACTTTTAAACTGGTTTAAGTCCGGTATATGTTGGGAATTGTTTTCTCTGTTTTTTCCAGAGTCACCCGAGAGCAGAGTATGAGTTCCATGTCATGAAGAAGTCCTTGAAGAAAGAGCAATCCCCAAAGGTAGGTCTTTATGAATCCAAGCTTCAGATGAAAAAAAAAAAAATCTCTATTGCAAACAGAATTGCCAATTGGATTTACACAATGTCTAAAAGCCAGGGTGGTTAACATCTCCAAATAATAATAATAACAATACATGTTTACAACATAGCTAGCGCAATTATGTATTAAAAACATTTAAATTTGAAGACATTTTAACCCTACATTGTTATGACAGTTAGGATTTAAAGTAATATATTTCAGTGTGGTTCGATTTTGTAGTTAAATTATATGGTATTGTATTATACTTTAATTTTACTTAAATAATTTTAATTATACTTAATCATTTTTAAAATGTAATGAATTAAATGTAATAAATTTTCATCAACCATTACTCCAGTCTTCACTGTGTCACATGATCCTTCATAAATCGATTATTATTTACTTTTGAAAAAAGGTTCTTATGTTGAAAACCTTTATTCTTATTATCAGTGTTGAAAAGTTTTTTTTGCTGCTTAATATTTTTATAGAAACTTTTTAAATAATAGTGTATCATGGTTTCTACAAAAAATATTAAGCAGCAAAAACGGTTTTCAACATTGATAATATCATGAAATGTTTCTCGAGCACCAAATCAGCATATTAGAATGATTTCTAAAGGATCATGTGACACTGAAGACTGGAGTTGTGACTGCTGAAAATCAGCTGTGCCATCACAGGAATAAATTTTATTTTAAAATATACTGAAAATCAAAATTTTAAAATTGTAATGTTTCACAATATTACTGTTTGTACTGTCTTTTCCATCAAATAAATGCAGCTTTGGTGAGCATATGAGACTTCATTCAAAAGCATTCAAAAGAAAAAAAATGTAATTATTCGAAACTTTTGACTGCCAGTACTGCCACATGAAATAGCGAACTGTTGTTTGTCATTTTACATGTTGATTAATAGGCCCCGTCTTGTCCAAGTGGGTTGTTCTTGGCTAGAATAATCTACAATGTGGACCAGACCATATGCTGATAAATAATTTTGATTTAATTTGTAGTGTCTGGCACAACACAGGCAATGCTGATTCTAGCAGTATTTTTGTCTGTTGGCTTATGCATGCCATCCTTGCTGTCATAAGGATGTCTGGATTATTGGGTATTACGTATTATGCTCAGTAGATGTTGACCCAGTTGCAGTATACTGAATGTTATGTGACAGCACAGCTGTGAGGCATGTCTAGGGGCTTGATTTTGCACTACTTGGCTTGACCCTCTCTGTCCCTTTGGAGGCCAAAGCATGCTGGAGGCCTGAGTCTACACATCTGATTTTTGACCAAGTTCCTGTTGCAAGATGTAAGTGCTAGGGTGTGTCTGGATTATATGTTCTGATCTCACATTTGACAATTCATATCTTTTTCTAGGCAGGAAATGTGAAGCTGACATGTAGAGACAGAATGCCAGCATACATGACTATTATCGTCATGATGTTTTTTTTGGTAAGACCTGATTTATTAAATTTTTTTTTTCATTATAAGGCTGTGATGTACGTAGGTTTTTTTAATATGACAATAAATGAAAGGAACTTAATGCTCAGAACATTTTTTTGTAGTTAAATGTACCTTATTTTCAACAACCAGGTAATTTATTTTATTTTGAAATCACATGAGCAGACAAATACTGCTGACTTTATTATCCCTCTATTAGGGCTGTGCAAAAAATCAAATGCGATTTTCATGCGCATCTCATCAGTAAAGCCGCTTCTGGTGATTAGTAGTAAATCTCCAGCACGTGCTTTCAGATGGAGCGGCATTTACTACACTTCACTGACAAGCTACACAAAATCGCGTTCAAAATCGGCAGTGAATTGTCTGCGATTTTGTGTAGCTTGTCAGTGATCTACGGTTCTGTGTAGTAAATGCCGCATGAAAATGAAAATCGCATTAGTTTTTTTGCCCAGCCCTACCCTCTATTATCAGAAGTTTTCAGTTGCATAATAAAGTAGTCATGGTGACTTAGATCTGGCTTTCTATAATTGCATTGGTAACCAATAATGTTGTCTTTTGCATGATGCTGTATCCAGTCTCTGTTGCTAAATTATTTGATTACAAGTCAATTTTCTTATTTTGTTCGTTTGTGTGCTCAATGCAGATCTTTGTGACCTTGGCCATCGTGTTTGGTGTGGTGCTATACAGGGTCTCCATTATGACTGCCCTGCACATGAGTTCCACTCCCACGTTCCGCACTAATATACGGGCCACCGTTAAAACCACTGCTGCTATCATCAACCTCATTATCATCATCATAATGGATGAGGTCTATGGAGCAATTGCACGTTGGCTCACTATTATGGGTACGTCTGGTTATTGACTGCAAGACATTTAGTTTGCCAGATTTGTTGCAAAACATGTTTACAGAACTTGCTGTTGTTTTCAACCTATCAGAGGTGCCAAAAACTGACAAGAGTTTTGAGGAGAGGCTGATCTTCAAGACATTCATATTGAAGTTCGCAAATGCATTTACCCCTATTGTGTACCTGGCATTCTTCAGAGGCAGGTGAGAGTATTGGTACCAAGGAGTCACTCTGAAACTGAACGGTATGAGATACTTGGTTATTAACAAATCTACAATAGGATTTCCATTTGTTAGAGCGACAAGCTCTGTTTCCAAACCTAGTGAGCTGTCCTGCTGTCTAAGTGACTGATTTGGAACGAAGTACAGTATAGACAGCTGCTCCTTACAGATAGTGCTTCTCACATGGAAAACATGAAAGATATTGATGTTAACGTGTTGCTAAGCTAGTAGATTTTGGGTAAAATACTGGGAGTAGGTGTGGTGTGTTAGGGGTTACGTGGGTACACTTAATGTCACCACACTCTGGATCATTTGCACAGGTAGTGCATATAGGAAGGTTAGACCATTGCAGTAGTCCTGTCTGGAGATGACAACAGCCTTGAAAAGGAATTGGCCAACATGCTTTATTCTCAAATCCATGTATCTGGATGATATGTCCCAGTGATTGTTGTGTATACTGAAAAGTGTAAGGGGCCAAATACTGAGCCCTGGGGTACCCCCATGGATAGTTGATGTGATTTAAATCCTGCTCACTTCTCAGATACCTTATAAATAGTAGAGTCAGATGATTTACACTTGCAGACATATCCAGCAGAATGAATACAACTAATCTAGAGGCAGCTTTTGCCAACCGCAGGGCTTCAGTGACAAGGTCTCTGATTAATTTCTGCTTTTGAGTGTCTGCTTTTGAAAAGACTTATGCTACTAATTTCACCAGGAACCTTCGATTGCTGCCATTTTCTCTCTGAAGTTTGGTCTCACGAAGAACATCAGATGTTCAGGGGTTAGTGGGCGTTTTGTGCAAACAGGCCTGGAGGAGAGAGGACAGATGCTGTCTAGACAAGATGTTCAAGTGGATTTAAATGCGTTATTTACATAAGAGAGGAGGAGCTTTTAGCTGGGTGAACAGAGGTGGGCGATCATAGAAACAAGTATGAGGGAGTGGAGGTTATGTTGAAAGAAAACCAGCGAAGAGTGTGCAGCAGGCAAGGTGGAAATCACAAATGTGCAATGGAGTAACAAGGACATTGTGGTACAGTTACTTGTGTAAATGAGGCCCGGTAGGTTTCCTGATTTGTAAATTGGTAAACTGTTGAGGTCAAACAAGGCTAGGAGAGCTTAGAAGGACACAGCATGAGGCTTATCCGGGGTGAATGTTTAATTAACCAAGAACCACAGCTGGGCTGCCATCTTCAGGGTAGGAAGATAATAGCACATCCAGCTCTTCTGAAAAGTTCCCCAGCTGACATGTAGGCTGATATATAACAAACAATACAATTTTGTTTTAGTAATTGCATGCAATTCAAAGGGATTATTGAGAGCTGATTATTTGTTTACTCCTGACTTGCAGTTTGATTTGATGCGTAAGTTGCAAATAGCTGACAGACTTGTCATATTGCATGGTGAACAACAATCAACACATAAAGGAGAAAAAAAGGTAGAAATAAGTGCCTTGCTGGAGTCCTTTTTCACTGGACGTGCACTTGCAGATCATTACATAAATTTTTTAAAAAAGGAGGGCTTCACATGTTAAGGATAGTTTGAGTGCATGAGTTACCAGCAATTAAGTGAAAATAGTTAACGCCTTTTAGATTAACAATACAAAGCATATAACGTCAAAGGCTGGCAAAAAAACTGCAGGATGGCTGCCGCCCTACAGCACCAGTGCAATTAATACATATCAACACGAACGACTACTGTAATTTCTAGCAACACATAATATTCTAAACAATAGAAACAATGTATTAGGCATATACTGCTGGTTCATAAAAAATAGTGCTGGCTTGGATCCACATCTGTTCATTAGCCAAAGATGCTGGTCTACCTGATTGACCAAGGAATTCCTGCTGAGTAGACTGTGAAGAAGCTGGGTGGAGACACTAAAACATTAGCATTAAAAGCACAACATACATGTGACATACAGTATGCTTCTGACCAATATAATATCGCTCACTAGGTTGTGGAAAAGAGCTACCCCCACCCCGCTTTGACTGTAATGTCTATTTTGTGAATTTTTTCACTTGTATTTGTGCAGTGGCTGGTAAACACAGCTATTGACCTTCTTCTATCCAATGCCTCCAGAATCATTGGACGTCCTGGCAAATATCTCTACGTTATGGGGTCTTACCGAATGGAAGAGGTACATATCTAGCATTCAGCTTCCTCCTTTTAAGTGTGTGTCATTGGTGGTTGGTGCTTTTCAAGACTATAAGCCATAAAATTGATTTCACAAAGATAAATGACGAATCTCATTGACCAACTGGTGTACACGTGTATATGTATAAGCAAAATCTATTCTTAACCACACGCTATTCTTGGAGTCTTGTACCTACATCATCATATGAAAAATAACTTGACAGATTGTCCTAGTTACCTCACTCTTGATGACTAACACTTTCGGAGGTGTGTAGCCAGTCAACTCCATAGTAACTGAGTGAAATCTCTCTCTGTTTCACCCTGCAGTGCGCCCATGCCGGCTGTCTGATGGAATTGTGCATTCAGCTCTGCATCACCATGCTTGGCAAACAGCTCATCCAGAATAACCTGTTTGAGATAGGCGTTCCGTGAGTAGCAAACACATTTGTAGATGAAGGAAATCTGATAAATTCCAACTATCCATTATAGGTGTGGTGTACATTTCTAGATGATTGCTTTAGGGAATTATTGTACTTTGACGAGAGCATTGTATGAGCCTTTTTTTTCTTCATGAAAAGACTTTGCTGACCTTTTTTGTGTCTTGCTTGCAAATACATATTATGTTTCTCTTGGACAAATGCAAATATACTGGATTGTAAGCACATCTCAGGCAAATGCCTCTAAAGGTAGTACATGGTAAAAGAAATGCATGAGCAGGTCCAAACAGAATCTCCAAAGTTTTTCCACATTTCCTGATTTTTGGGGGAAATGTGCAGAATCCAATGTGCAGAAGAGTCTGAGGTCACATGTCACAGTTTCTGGGTCCAAATGCTCCTTCAGATCCCAAAACCAACTCATGGTGTGCTGTACTACCCAAAAATTTCTATAGCAAAATCTTAGCTGGCCAAACAATGATTTCATTTTTATATTAAAATATTGGTCACCGGGATGCCATGGGATAGATAGGCTACTGTATATTGTGCCTGTGACGTGAGGTTCAAATTATTTAATACATGTTAAAAGAATACATATACAACAATACAAAATATTCATCACATCCCAAAGTTTTTAAATCCACTCACTGATATGTGTCTTATTTTGTGTAATATTTGTGTAATTTATTTATTTTATTTTCTGCTTCATCTTATGGATCTCTTTGCCCAATTAACATTCCTTATTATCTATTTTATCTTTGATTCCATATGATCTCTGTAGACACAAAGAAATTTTATGGGAATTTAACATATTAATATTTTAAGCTAGCCATTAATAGTTTATATTCTTAAGTATAATTATAAACACATAATTAGTGGTTGTTTCATTGAGGAATTAATCAGTGTTGTGAAAGCGCTATTTCATTCCCATGAGTTTGTGAGCTTGACATGTCCCTTCTCAGTCACCGTATTTAGCCAAAGAACAAATATTTAAGAAATTATTGCTGATGGTTACTAACTATATCATTATATCAATGCATATAAATGTAAATATATATGCATTGATAAATAAAAAATGTGTCATTTTCAATAATGAATTTACTCACCCTTATGTTGTTTCAAAACTGTGTGAGTTTTGAATATTTTGAAGAATTTTCCAAAACTATATGGTCACCAACATTCTTAAAAGTATGAGTAAATGGTGACAGAATTTTTGTTTTTGGGTCAACCATTCCTTTATTTAACTTCATTCTGCATTGTTTTTAATCAACTTGCTGCTCGGTTGAAATGATTGTTTCTCTGATTGCTCTAAAAGGGTTTAAGAGGGATTTATTTTTTTCGAATACATAAATATCTAATCATTATAGTTTACGTGTAGTTATGTAGTTTTAGGTGTAGCTATGCTCTCATTAAGTAGAGAGAGTGTGTGTGTATGTATAGAGTGTATGTTGTAAACAGGGCAAAAAAATACAGATATCTAATTTAGGTAAATCCAATTAGCCAAAATATTGAGTAAACAAACACGGATGGGCAGTTCACAGCAACACTGTGAATGATGGCTGTTCGGATGTACATGAGCACATCATGCTTCAGTTCACCAAGTTAGTTATATGCAAAATCCACAGTGATTATTAATGTATCTGTGCCACAGAAAACTGAAGAAAATGCTCCGACAACGCAAGATAGACAAAAAGCATCAGGAAGAGCTGAACAAAACGCTTCATCGTCACGAGAAGGACCACTTCCTTGGGCCCTTTGTCGGACTCAACCCAGAGTACATGGAAATGAGTGAGTCACTACACACTACTCGCCCACACACACACACACACACACACATACAGACGTAGAAACATTTGTTTGTATTCTCTCCTGGTCCTGCTGGCTGTTTTCCGCACTCTTGTAGGAACACGACATCATTAAAAATGTATTGTAATTACAATTTCCGATTATGAGTGATTAAATTCACACTGTCCACAACCGCTAATTGAAATGTTTAAACACAAGTAGACAGATTTATACACCTCATCTGTTCAAAGCACTGTTATATGAGAGTAATTCAAGCCCCTAGACGGCGTGCACAGTAAACGGTAAACGCACGTCCGTTCTGTGAAGGATCTGCAGTGCTCCTCCTCTCCTCTCATCTCAGCTACAGCGTGGGATGGACTTCTGCTAAGAGAGAGGCATTATGGGTCCAAAGGGGGGCTGGCAGAGCACCGTGAGATTATGAGCTTTGGTTCTGGCTTGAATTCATTAATAACATCCCACCCCCTCATCTACCATCCTCCATCTATACTTTTATCTTCTATCCTTCTATCTCTATCTCTTTCTCTGTCTCTCCTGTCCCATTCTTCCATCTCTGAGTGTGGCACTACCCAGTCTCCTCCTGATCAGCTCAAAATCACATAAAAAAGACAATCCAGGAAGGACCAAGAAGGATTTCAATTTTTGGGAATTACTCTGGGCGATTTGATTTTTAACGTCTTAAAGGGGTCATATGATGCTGCTAAAAAAGAACATTATTTGGTGTATTTGGTGTAATGGAATGTGTTTATGCGGCACACAGTGTCTTCACGACATGGCGGCAGCGGCAGCAACAATACTACAGCGAGAATCAAAGTTACGCCTTCTTTCTTTGCGTGAACATTTGGGCGGCGTTATGCAAATCTTCCCAAACAGTGATGTAGACATGTGGGGGCGTGTTTAAATGAGGTGTTTTAGGTAGGCGTGGTCATACTTTTATCATATGACGTGATTTCATGTTTTCCTTTCTTTGGAGTGTTACAAGCTGTTTGTGCATATATAAGATCCGTAAAGTTGCAAAGATTACAGTCTCAAACCCAACGAGAAATTCTTTTTAAAAATTAAGACTCATCCACGCCTTCCTCATTCAAACACACCCCCACAAATCTACGTCACCGCGGGGGAAGATTTTTCGGCCAATCACAGTGCACTGGATAGCTGGCCAATCAGAGCACACCGCGCTTTTCTGAACGATGAGCTTTGTAAAAATTGGCGTGTTTCAGAAAAAGGCGGGGCGGAGAGAGGAGCAACAATAATGTACTGTATGTGGAAAATAATGTGTTTTTAAACCGCGTAAATGCATTGCATTACACCAAATACACAAAATAATGTTCTTTTTAGCAATGTCATATGACCTATTTAAGACCAAGTTTCCCAGCATACCAACGTCTGATGTATTTGATGTGATAAGATGTTCTCAGTAATTCTGCGAGTTGTGCTTCAGTGGAACCTTCAATGGAAGTTTGTTTTGTGTTTTTGTTTCTTTTTCTTATCTAGTCATTCAGTTCGGGATGGTGACCTTGTTTGTGGCCTCCTTTCCGCTGGCTCCCCTTTTTGCTCTACTGAACAACGTCATTGAGATCCGTCTTGATGCCAAAAAGTTTGTCACGGAGCTGAGAAGGCCGATTGCTGTAAGAGCAAAGGACATTGGTCGGTATCTAAAACTGATTTTCAGCACACTAAATGATCTTTATTGAGATGAGATGTAATGTTTATACACATAAGTATAGCATTCCTGTAGCTCAAACAAGGGAAAGCATGAACTGGTTGAATGCAAAGTAAGTCATTTTGGATAAAAGTTTCTGCCAAATGTATAAATGTAAATGTACATAATAAGACACTACAGATTATATATACTCTGAAATTTAGGATATGTAAGAAAAAAAGCCCCTGTGTAAGTTTTATAGGATTTTTTTATAGAAACTTTTTTATATCCGGTGATATATTTAAGCAACATCACACAAGCAAGTGACCTGTTTTTCCAAATATTATCACAATTACAAAAGTGGCATTCATTTTATACAGAAGCTGAATAAAGATTGTCTTTTTCATTAATATGAAGTGATATTTCAACAAAAGTAGTTACAAACAAAACCACAGCAGAAACGTTGCGTATCTCCACAAGCAACTACCTTGTTCAAGCATTTCGTTACTAAATGAATCAGTGTTTTTGCATGTAGTTAAGTGAATGATTCAATGACTCATTCATAAAGACCCGTTTACTTGCTTTGTACCTGAACAAATCAGTCATTTTGAACGGATGGCTTGAATGTATGATTCAATTATTCACTCATTAAGATTCTTTAGTGACACCTAATGGCAGTTTTGCGGTAGTTTTAAAGAAAGTTTAAAGTATTGTTTCATTTTATTCACAATTATATATTTCAAACATTAATCTCACAATATTATTTGTGCATTTACGGCATGTTCTGTGCCTCTTCTGCCGTGCTAAGACAGATGATTTAATTTAAATGGTAACAGCCATAGTTTAATGATATTCTAACTAAATTTATTGATTACATTTAAGAATTTTATATAAAAGTTGACAAATATGTTTAATGAGGTTAGAAAACAAGTTGCCCTTATAAAGGTAAAAAAAAAAAGCCCCTGGAAATTGAATTAAGAGGTAAAATAGGACACTTAAATGGAAAGGTTCCTTTCTGTTACTGATTTGGCCTTTCAGATGCAAAGGCCTGATGTCACTCTAAAGTGATTTCTTGCATAACATATTTCCAAAATAATGTACCGTGTCACCAGGAAATATTGGCTCTGAAAGATTCTTGAAATGGTTATTTCTGGTCATCTGCTCATCTTTGGAGGAGACAGGGCATGTATTGACTGTAGGTGGCTATCTGTGTTTAAACCTATTTGTTAAAACAACTAAAATTCTAACATCAACAACATCATATTTTTATAATAGCTAATGAATACAGTAACACGGTAACACTGGCAAACATTTAGGCAAAAATCAACTACAGTATAAAGGTAGATTGTAACTGAACGTTTGATCTTCATGTCAGGTCAATGCATATTGATAACCCATATTGATATCGGGGCAAGCTGTCAATGTAACAATTTGCCCCATAAGTTATGCATCACTGCTAGCAAATTCTTGATGCGTATGTATTTATTCATTGTGCCAACATGCCTTGTGTTGTGACGGCATGCCCTGCTCTGGGGGTTAGTGTAGGTCAACATGTGGTAAATAAACTTGTCTTCATTTTCTGGTCAAGAATGGAAATGTTAATTCGCTTACTTGTAGCCAAGCCTGAAGGTCTATGCCTATGTATACACAAACATTTAAAATTGTCTTCATTTTGAGGAAGAGAAGAGGGCAGATGCATGTTTTCATCGCAATACTCTGAATTTAGTCCTAGTGAAAGGCTGAAAAAAAAATCTATAAAATGACAAGCATTTATCACCACCTAGTGGTAATATATGGTGATACGTGCCTTTATTGCTGAATCTCCTGTCAAGAACATGGTGAAATCAAAAGAAAAATATTGAAATAAAACATTTAAATATAATTTTGTCTTATATTTTGATTTAAGAGTATTATTATATTTATTAAGATTTTTTTTTTCCCGAAGAAAATAAATGGTATTTTTATTTATTTATTTACTTATTTTCATGACTATTAAGAATTGACATTCAGTGTAACACAGCAGTGTTTAGTCACTGTAAATATAGCAACATTTCAAATTCACATCATGCGTAATCTAATGTCTCTTGTCTTTGTTTCTGTTTCTTTGTCTCCAGGAGTCTGGTACACTCTTCTCAGAGGAATCAGTAAAGTGGCCGTCATTGTTAATGTAGGTTTAAATTCTATGTGTTTGTTCTGAAACAAATAAGAGCTGTACCTGTTGTACTGTGATGTACCTGCTTTGTATATTCTATGAAGTTGTATTTCTCAACATTGATATTAATAGTGCCATTTGTTTTTTCTCCTTCAATATAAGTCCTACTCATTCTGTAAAATTTATGCTGCGAACATAAATGAATCATCCCACCTATTGAGCAAGAGGTGTGCTATGACTTTTCTAAGCGATCTGACTGATGATTTTCAGCTGGTGGATGTTAAAACAGGTGAAAGAAATCCCATAGCCATTGAACTCAAGCCATTATTAGGAACCAGAATATGATAGACACACAGGGCCAGTTAGCAAACACCCAGAACACCCGAGCAAACAAACGCATAGAAACTCATTAGCAAGGTTTGGCGAAGGCTAATCCTCCTGTGTCACTCTCTAGGCATTTGTGATCTCATTCACCTCGGACTTCATCCCACGCCTGGTCTATCAGCACATGTACAGTGCAGACGGGACTCTTCATGGCTTTGTCAATCACACTCTTTCATACTTCAATGTTAGTCACTTCCAGCCTGGCACAGAGCCCATGCAGCCAATGCACCTGGGATACAAAGTGGAGGTTTGCAGGTACTTGGTTTGATTTGCACTAAAGAGTCTTTCTTTTGTGCGTCTGGCTGATTTTTCTAATGTGGTGTATGACTGTGTATTTTATTCATAATGTTTACACTATCCACAGATATAAAGATTACAGGGACCCTCCATGGTCTGCCACGCCATATGAGTTCTCAAGAGAATTCTGGGCCATTCTGGCGGCTCGATTAGCTTTTGTCATTGTCTTTCAGGTCGGTCAAAACCTAATTCATAAAATATCAACTTTTTTTAAATATTTTGATCAATGATGAATTTTACAAAGAAATTTCTAGGTCATAATTTCAACTATAATAATAATAATAATCACCATTTGTTGTTGCTGTTGTTTAATTATAAAAAAGAATGTTACATTTCATTTCAGTTATTAAAATGCTCCTAAATTGTAATTCTCACATTATTACAGTAATACACCAAAACATCATCCTGTCCAGATGCCTATTTTAATAATTTGTGACCATTATTAAAATTGGTATAAATTAATTTTAACTACTACCATGATTAGCATACATCTATATTATACTAATGTATTATATTATATTTATTATATTATATTATATGTTTGTTATTATATTAATATATAAATATATTACTAAAGATGACAAACACACACACACACACACACACACACACACACACACACACACACACACATATACTGTATATAATTTTGTGCTTTAGTCATTTTTATTAGTTGATGGGTTTTTTTTATATTTCTATTTAGCATTTAATTGAAATTTCGGTAATTTCACTGAAACTTTTTTTTTTTTCAGTTATTTGCCCAAGCAACATTTCTTTTAAAGGGGTCATATGACGTTGCTAAAAAATAACATTATTTTGTGTATTTGGTGTAATGAAATGTGTTTATGCG